TTCATTAATCTCATAAATGTGCTAGTTGTATTAGTAAGTCCAAATGACTAACTAACAACTCATAGAACCCATATTTAGTTTTAAAAGTGGTTTTCCATTCATCTCATTCCCTCATCCTAATTTGATAATAATCACTTTTAAGATCGATTTTACTAACTATGCATGATCCATGTAATTCATCTATCATATCATCTAACATAGGAATAGGATGATGATACTTTACTGTTATATTGTTGATGGCCCTACCTCCAAGTACCACCTTTCGTTGGTACAAGTAATACGGCATGCACATGGACTCATACTCTCCTTTACATACCCTTTGCTCATCAAATCTTCCACTTGCCATTGAAGTTCTTTAGCCCTCGAGATTACTCCGATAAGCTGGCCTGTTTGGAATGACAGCTCAAGGTACGAAATCAATTTGAGGAATGACTCCTTATAAACCAACAAGACCATAAGTCAGTTCTCAACTACTGTCATCTTCAACTTACTCCCTTTTGCAAAGAAATTCACTTTTGACTTTTCTCCCCTCTCACCAGACTCTTTTACTTTTCTCTCTTGTGGCTATACTCTTTTTTTCTCAGTTTTAGCCACCTCACTATTTTCTCTCTTGATCTTGTCTTGTGAAAGGTCAATCTCACTCACATTTTCTCTCAATCTTTTTTCCTCCTCACTTTTCAACTTAATTTGATCTTCATACACTTATTGTAGTGTCAACGGTACAAAAGTAATAGATCTCCCATCCTTAGTAAAGTTGTACATCCTTTGTACCCATCATGAATCACCTTCCTATCATATTGCCATGACCTCCCCAACAAAATATGCCCGACATACATATGAACTACATCACACATCACCTCATCATAATACTGCCCAATTTAGAAACTTACCAATACTATCATATTCACCTTAACCTCTCCACACTCCCCCAACCATTATAATTTATAAGGCCTAGGATGTTTTATCATAATTAATCCCAATTTTTCAATAAGTGTTGTGCTAGCCACATTGGTACAACTACCCCCATCAATAATTCAAGCACCACAATTTTTACCTTCTTTTCCCCTGAGAAGTTGTGGCAATGAAATATCAATTCCAATTTCTTTTCCCACTCCAAGTATGCCTCGTGATCACTTCTTCCTTTGAATGAAGGAATTGTCATCTTGATGTTGTCCATACTCCTATAAATACCATCTCCAACAAGATATTTACCCTCCCTTTTATGCATAACTCCTATATCCATCATTCTTCCTAACTAGACATCCATCAATGCAACCTCATTAATATCACTATCCGCTTCCCAATCACCATCATATTCCGCTCTATAGTCCCGCCTTCCTTGTCTCCTTGCGTTAGGAATTTCTCTAAATTGTTCCCGACGCAAATTAGCAAGCAAAGTATCTTGCCTATCTAATCTGTCTCTCACATCCTCAAACAACCTTTCGAATTGATTATCCTTCCCGTTTGAGTGAGATTTTGAAATTTGAAGACTCAAGAAAGAAAATAAATTGAATTGGATAATTGGAATGGAATTTGAATTCAAAAAAGTGGTTCTTGAATTTTACACAATAGATAACGTAATTCCCGGTAATTTTCGAGATAAATAATAACAAATATACTTTTTTTTTGAATTTCACTGTTCACAGAATTTTCTAAATTTTTTCGGAATTTTCAAAAAAATTTTCCAAATTTTTTTACTCGAAATTCAACTATAACACCGGACCAAATATTTAAATAGAAGAACACGAAGAACGTAAGAAAAAAGAAAATAAAGAGTCAAACGAAAAAGGAAAATGATATAATCTTGATTCCAGTGCCTAAGATTCGATACCAACTGATGTGAACTCATGTAGTAATTGTAGCTACAGAACCTACGACAAATTAGAACAACCCAAGCAAGTCAAGAATCAATATTTGAAAAGCCCAATAAATTATTGAACCAAGAATCAAGACAATCGCTAACAATAACTTGACATGTGATTACAAAACTTATGAACCTTACTTTGAATTTGTGGAATGGCACAAAAATTTAATTCTCGATAAGTTCAAAATTAAAACAATGAAGAACTAGAAGAAGGCAATTTAGCCTCGTGATAATAATCTTAATAATTGTGTGTTTACAATTAATATAATGAGTCATATATATAGGGAACATATAAAACCTAGTTAAAACGGAATTTAAGTCTCAAAGATACTAAAAAATTCCATAAAAGAGTTTTAACTTAAAAGATTACGCGAAAATTGGAAAAATACGCTTTTAGAATGAACTATGCTTCTTCCTGCTTGAACCAAGTTGATCCATTTGGTTTCTTCTCCTGAGCCCAACACGAAACTTGATCCTTTATTTGTCGTGGTCGACATTTCATCCACCGTAGCTTAAGTAAGCAATCACATCCCCTCTTTGACTCGCTTCGTTCACGACCTAGTCATCGATCCTTCATCAATGATCAATGGATCATTACCCATACTTGCTCTCGTATCATGGATCACATAATTAGAGGGTTGTGCTAATCTCTCTAAATTTTTTTTATGGTTTTGACTTTCTAGTTTCAACTTTAAATTTTGTGAAATTTGCATGTTAATTTCTCATTCCTGTTGATGGTTAACATATTTAACGTTTAAATTACAGTTTCCTTAATCAGAATGATGAATATTTCAATTTTACATAAACGTATTACGTTAAATCGAAAATGATTAGACTCAATAACAATTCTGTTACACTAAATTGAACAAAAGTGAGTATATGATAGTAGCAAATTTTGTTAAGTCTAGACATTTTAATTGGAATCGATCCTCCTGAACAAAAACAGAACCATAATTGGACGGTCTGGTCTAGTTCCCAAAAAAATAAATTAGGAACCAAAATTAAGAATCGATAACCAACTGGGTTCTGTTTGGTTCTTGGGTCCTAAACTAGAACCGTTAATATTCGAATGGAAATGATTTTTTATTTACAATTTATAGGATGGGTAAAAAAATTACAAAACATAAAAACCCTAATTTGGGTAGTCATTAATCGAAAAATCTATACTCTAGACCTGAGAAGTTAAGATTGGTTCTTACTCTTTTATCTCTCGCTTCAAGATCGTTTCATTCAAAGTAGGCTGTGACATAAATTAATGAATCAAAGCGTTCATTTTTTTACAATTCGAGCTTTTTACTTTATTGCATTGTTTACAAACTTAAGTAACTTGTTAATTTTTATAATGTATGACAATTGAACTTGATATATTCATAATTTGGAATGTGTACTTTTCTTGTTATTTTGAGTTCGTGATTTTTATTTCTTTTAAATATAATTTTTCCTTTTTATTCAAACAGATGGAGTTCAATATTTGTACTGCTATTTCTTGATACTATATAGTTATGTATCTAATTATTATTTTTTATGTCAATCCGTTTTAAGAGTAGACGAAATTATGCATTGTTTATAATTAAATTATAGGCTATAGCATACCTCAGTTATGAGTCAAATAAGATTTATTAATAAAAATATATTTATTCTCTAACTCTGTGTGTGTGTGTCAAGTCATTCAAAAAGTCGTCCATGCCAATGACTCCAAGTCACTCATAAAAGTTGTGTTCATGTAGAGTTGA